TGTCCAATTTAATGATTCCTGTACTTCCTGTAGTTTTGGATAGCGTAATGGTGGGTTCAAATTTGAATTTCTTTGTATAGAGAGAGAAAAAAATAGCGACACGTTATTTTCATTAGAGCCGGCCACATTTCGGACGCTATCGAACGTTAATGGTTTCAATTTGAAATATCGAGCGTTCGAGCGTGGTTAGCGGCCACTTTTTTGTCAATGACGCCAAAGTCGATCGATTTTGCCCGTAACATTCGTAAAACAAATACTAATTTATTTTTTTAGTGCCGCCTTTTAACGCGACGCGCCGACACCCACAAAAAGGCGGTCGAATTTATTTGCTTTAATTTGGCTCTAAACGCTGGCCAACGCCGACCGAAAAAATAGTTCTCACGTTTCGGTTTTAAGGAAAGTTAAACCGGAACATGTGATACGGTGCTCGCAGGCCCGTAGAGAGAAATTTAGGGTCCGCGGGTTTCATTTCAACGGACCCGTTATCATCGCGTTCGCCATTTTATGAAAATTCTTAATTTTTTGTGTTGTATTGGTTTAAGTAAACCATTTTTCATAGTTTAAAAAAATCTACAAAAATTATCCGTCATTATATTTTTGGTATTAAAATAATTTTCTGAATCTGACTTTAGGATAGTATAAATGATGACAATAATAAAATGATATTCTAATAGGATTAATTGAACTGAAAACTGGTTTCATTAAAAGGAAATCAACAGTGTCGAAATTTTTGCTTCACGGGCAAACTGGTGGATGTCCGCTAAAGCTTTCGATAGAGTGGATCATAAAATTTTATTCGTCAGCTAGATGCAGTTGGTTTTATTAACTAGGTTAGGCAAGTGGTAGAACTAAAACTGTCATCCTTCTAATGTTAGGTGCACCACAAGAAGGTCATTTGTAAACCTTATTTTCTAAATGACATCAAAGACACTCTTAATCACTATCTACTATTTTAATGTCTTTCCCTGATCTAATACTGATTCTCTTCTATCAATCTCTGAAAGAGCAGTCCAATTGGTTTCAACTTTTGTATTGGTTCTGTAACGTTGGATAAATCCCTAGAGTTGAGAGTAGAAAAAATCACAAATAAATCAGTGATTTTGCTGAGCTTACCATTTGAATTTTAAAAAAGTGGAGAATACCTTCATCATTAGGGATGTTTTCTGCCCTAGCACTATCACTGCTGAAATATGCGAGTTCTGTTTGGCAATCAATTTATAATGCTCGTGAGCAAGAGTCCTAAGAAAATTCTGGATAAGAGTTGTTCTTGAGCTAGGCATGTCATATAAAGGAAAAGCTCTTAAATCTTTCTCTTCTCCATATTCTGATTATGTATATGTTTTTAAAAATTATTCCAGAGTTTCTTGTCCATGTTCCTTCTATGTTTTCAATATTTAATGTGACTTTTAACCAGACTAATTTATCATCCTTTTTTCATTACACTTATGGTTTATTTTTTAACATATTAATTTGCATTAATCCGCTGCCTTGTGGTGTTATTAGTGACTATAATACCACTCGTAGGTTAAAAAATTGTAACTGCTAAATGGGCAATAAAGATTTTATAAGAATTGATTTCCAATTGCTAATTTTGAGTAAAAGATAGGAGAAAAAATACATAGAAAATCACTGTGTTTATAAGGAGAATATTATTTATTGTTTTAGTGAGCGTAAGAAATAATTTTCAATTTTAATTTGAAACCATCATGCTTTTAACGTTAAAAGTAAAAATTAAAATTTTGTAGTAATAATAAACAATAGTCTGCCTCAAACATACATATATATTGCAGGTTCATTGGTGCAGGTGTATGAGGTTCGACTTTTAAAAATAATTACATTCCTCATGAGAGTGGTGTGACTTAAAATAATAAAAGTGCTCTATCATGTTACGAATTCCATATCAGCAATGGAGTCTTGCAGCAAAACCATATAATTTTCTTATAGAATAATACATCTTTTGGAAATTTTCGCGTTTCATAGAAAAACTGTTATTGTCTTTTACCGGTTTTTGGTTGTGAATGATATGAAATCCAATCCGTCATAATGGAAATCAGTTCTAAGGACCGTAAGTTTTGCAAAATATTTTCTAAAGATGTCAAATTCATGTGGGGAAGTAATACTTATAATATATAATACTTATTACCCATAGGTGAACTAAAACAACTTCAAATAATTAGTTTACTAAAATAGCTGGCAGATACATACAAGATGCTGAAAGTGAAATTTTCTCAAAATTATAATAATTTCAAAATGGTTAAAAACAGGAAATTCTGAATTAGTGTACTAGTGTTTTCGAACAGCTTTCTTCTTTTTGGAAACTAATATTTGCTACTAACTTTATTAAACAAAGCTTTTTATTCTAATTTGTCACTTATAATGTACATATAAATGCTCTTTGTTATTCACAATTAAATTAATTTAAATTAGAGAAAAACTGCACACTTTTCGGTCTTAAGAAATTCCGAGGAAAGGAAAATAAAAGATATTTTGAAAAATTGTTTCATTTTTTCCATGCTTCATTTGGATTTCTTCTCTGGGATATTACAGCCAACTTGTTTTTTTTAATATATAAATTTTTCAATTACTTGAAGCAAGTGTCAGACTTTCCCAATAAATGTTTCTGGTCTAACATCGAAAAAAGTTCATTTCAAATCTGATAATATATATTGGATGTGTACCAGAAAAACGCGATGCCAAAATTGAACTTTTGCCACCAACGTGGTTCAACAAAATAGGTATCCGAACGCGTCTAATGAATTACTCATCCATTATATGATTACCAGACATCTGCTGAACACCAAAACTAATCTTACCTAGAATAATAAAATTTCAGTAAACAAAAGAATTCAATTTCGTATGGGAACATTTTTTCACGAACCCATCGCGTCGAGAAAAAACGCCAGACCGGCAGTCGGTAGCTGTTAAATTTAATGATAATGAAAATCAATCACTGCACTAATACGTGGTAATGTTAAAATGAACCGTCATTATCTTATGAATGTGCCTCGGAAAGTGTGGTGTCATGCTCGACCACTTGTGGGGTCCGTGATTACCTTAAGATTTCGGATTTTCTGTCAATTTCAGACATGGCTAGTTTTCGGCTTTTTTTTCAGGCTCAAAATTTCGTCGATCCAGTTCAATCAAACACAGACTTTTTGGCTTCGCGGTTGTGCAAACGGAAGGCTGGTATTGGTTCAGTAGGATTTGGGTTGCGGTTGATTTTATTTTAGCACGTTTTATGTCGGCATTTGACGAGTTTTTTTTTTAATTATAAGTGATGTCTTTTAGACTTATAATTATGTATGTCCCACCACTATGTCATACACATCTTTACTAAGTATCTATGCATATACCGGAACAGTTTAAATCAATATTTTTAGGTCCATAATTTTTGAATCTAAATGTTTTTTTTTAATTTATTGTTTCAAAAAACATTACATTTACGTTGTAACCCATTACAATATGAAGGACAAATAAACTGAAGTTGAAGTTAAATATTGAGGCGACCTCTTTTTAATAATTCAGTTACTCAAGTCCGTATATATATGCATGTATATGCACCCAAGGGAAGTTGACCGATAATGCTATTCTCTCGGGCACACCTTTGCGTTTAGATTAACTTTTTTTCGTCCTGTTAAATGGTTTCTTAGAAGCTCTGCAGAATCGTGACTATGACCAAAATAGTCTTGCTTAGCCGTTAGTAGCCATCAGCGATCAAGGATGTGAAATGCTTCTCTATAGAATAAGAATTTTATTTACCGGGAACTTTTATAAGTTAAAGTCTCGTCATCACAATAAATATTAATATATGTTAAGAAATCGTAAATATCACAGGGTATATGTTATTGTCAAGACAAAGTCAAAACAATGTAAATAGAAACACATACACATATGTATACAGAAATATTAAAATAAATATGAGCACAAAAAGAAACTTTACTAAGGTTTAATTATTTACGAAAACAACCTATTTCTGAACTGAATATAAAGAATGAGCAAGTAGATATTCTTTCTTTGCTCTTTTAAATTTTTTGTTAGAGAGGCTTTTAATGGATGTCGGCAGTCTATTGTAGAAAAAATAGAATTAGAAATTTGACATCCTATCCTAAAATTATAAGAGTAATTTTTACTTGTGTAAGTGTATCTTTTTATGATGCATTTCGATTAAGGCAAAATAAACGAAGATGCCGGGTAAAAGCGCAATTTTATGGGTCAAAAAGGGGCACGATAATGTGTACTACACATAATCGTTCTTAATCGCTCTCTTTTGTAATTTAAAAACGGTCCGTGCTGCAGTACTGTGGCCCCAGTGGAACGGTATGAGAAATTTTTGAATGAAACAGCGAAAAATAACATGTTTTAAGGGTGTCGAAATTTACGTAGAATCACAGTTTTCTTATTAAAAATATGGGACTCGATAAAGCTTTAGAGACTTTATATGTATGGCGTGACCACTACAATTTGTCATCTATAATGAGACTCGGCAGCTTAGTACTGTTACCTACCGCTAACCTCGACTCAGCCGGTATTTTCAAAATTTAGGTTTTATCTTTCGGCTAGATCTAAAGCAGGATTTGAACTATATTAGAATACAACAAAAAATACATTTCATCTTTGACCTCTATCATCATATGCTTGTAGCATGCTCTGTGGCAGGGGTTAAGCTGAGTTGATATAAAATTTTACTGCAAGTATACTGTAAAATCTTGCACTCTAATGCAAGTATTAATTACACTCAGAAATAGAGCATTTGTAATATAACTTTCCGTTTGGTGAAAAAATATTCCTGACAACTCTATTCAAAAATTCTATTATTATGTTTGTAATGAGAAACTTGACTGCTGCAGCGAATTTTAATACCACTCTTGAAACAAACTGCTGTGACACGATTTGAACCCAGTTTATACAATCTGTTGTTGGTTGGGCCAGCATAAATTATCAGTAAGTACTACGCAAAAATAAAAAAAATCGTTTCGGTAACATGCTTTTTAAATGCTTACCAAGAATGCCGTCAATAGAGTGATTTTTCCTCTCAGCATCTTCTTTTCTCCCTCCACGCAATAGTCTACTAATGGAACTAACAGATGGGGCAGAATTTTTATCACAGATGCCTTCCTGTAAAGAAATGAAACTCAGGTGAACGTGATATTTGAAATAGTGGATTTTAATCAGAATCAATTAGCAAGACTAAAAATTGTCAGTTGGAGAGTGATTTTGTTTCAAATTAAATACATGTTCTGCTTTTCTATAAACGAGTAGAAAATTTTCAAAACTTCAAATTACTATTACGTATAAAACAGGCATTGGACAAACTTGTTATACAAACAGAAAATATTGTAAAGGAAGAGGCACACAGGGTTCCTCCACTAATTGAAATTCATTAATTATTTAGAATTAAAAAATCGATCTAATATCTAAGTTTAAAGCATGAAGAATTCCGTTAGAACTTGCTAGGGGGTTGTGCCGTCAGCATAGATAAAAACAAGGTCGCATACTGACATAATCGGAAAGATCGCAAGAATGTAACTGAGATATTGGAAATTGACTCACTGGCTTACCGATAAATTTACCTTGATCAGTTTGTCCCTGATTTCCCAGGAGAATATTCCTGGTTGTTCCTTTTTCAATTGCTCTATTCTGGTTTCGACTTCTGCAGTAGCGACTCTAGGCTTGGAGCCGCCGATTACTCCAGGCCTGATGCTTCCCGTTTCCTGATAACGGTTGAGGATTTTGGACACGCATCCATGGGACACCCTAAGCTGTCGCGAGATTACGCAAGGTCGGATACCAGAGGCCGCCATCTCCACAATCCTTAGGCGGATGTGGTTTGGAAGGGGACGTCCGTTTATGAAAACCCCTCCCAACTGGTTCACCCTACCTTGGCCTGAAAAAATAAAGCTGGTTTTAAAATTAATTAAAATAATTCAGGAGGCAATTCAGTTAGAGGGTGAAATGATAGGAATGACATTTCGTTACCAGTCAATAAGAAATTATTGTATGTTATAGGTGAATATACATATATTGTAAATACAATTTGAAGATTGAATTGTAAAAATTACTTCTTGTCGGAAGGGAGCAATAAAAGAGAGTCGAATGACAGTTTTGTAGTTATAGAAAATATCGGAGAAATACTTGAAGTGACAACAAATTTTTGTTAAATAACTTTCCGGATAATGAAATTTATTTTGAATATATATTTTGTTGTCTCGATTCCTTTTGAAATTACAAATGCTTTTTTTTTGGTTTTAAGGCAAAATTCGTGGAATAATATGATCCAAGCATGAGGGTGCAATATTCAAATTTATTTGAGTGACTGCCAGAAGCTGTGTCTCAGATGGCATAATTATAATTTAGCATCATCCGATAATGCGTCTAAATCCAATATTTTCAAGATCTATATAATACGATATTAATAGTATATTATGCAACGCGAGATTACTTGGCACGAGCGGAGCGAGTGTTTAATAGACGAGTGACTTTAAAAAGTTTACCACACTTGTTGTATAATATACTATTAAAATGACCGTCAGAATTGATAAACTTCAAATAGTTGTATGTAATATCTCCGAAAATTTCCGATTGCTCCCAAACTCGTGCGATAATATCCCGCACTGACGTGGTAAAATGACACTTTCCGCAGGCGAGATATGTGTATTATTGGGAATTTAAAGAAGGGAGTAGAAAATCGATTTTCCTTTCACTTTTCCAAGAAATAATAAAAGAGGACCAAAAAAAAAAATTCAAGATTAATTTATTTTGCGAATTTTAATAAAACCTCTGAAACTTCAGTAATATATTGAATAATAACATACCGGTTACAGTTAGTAAGGTATTTTTGTATTGTATATTTGTACATTTTACATTGCCTAAGGAAAATCTTGCTCGCAATTTGAAAATCTTTTAAAATTAATGCCTGACAACGTTGCTAATTGATGGAATTAAACCCTAACAAAACCATAGTTGCTAAGTTAATGGTAAGACTAAGGGCAACCGCAAATTAGTTATTTTATGGAGAATGTAATTTGAGCACTAGTAACCAAATATGTTTTTTAAGAGTTACAGTTGATGGGTAGTACAAAAAATTGAGCCAACATTAGCTTGGTTAGACATAACCTAGAACTTTGTAAAAAATCACCCTTTTATGCTAAAAGTACAATATTTATTTTTTTGCTACGGAGCCTAAAAGAAATAGCGTATCTATTAAAAAAGATTATCTAAAAACTCCTATTAGTACTCTTCTATTTTTGAATTTAGTGTTTATGTTTTTAGTCAAGGGGTATTATAGTTTTAATCTATAACTTAGGTAGGACTTTTTTTATCTATTTTGCCTTTATGCCACCTCTATATTATTATTCTATGGCAATATGCAAAAAAAATAAATTCAGTCATTGAAAAGATGAAGAGTGATTTGACAATTACATTTATAAACTGTAAAGTATTTCAGTAAGTATTTTAGTACCATTCAATTTAATTTGTTCATTTTAGAACCGTTCATTTGAGAGATGACTTTTATGCAGATAAACTACACTATTCAAAGAAAATATTCACCTGAAAAAATGCCAGTGGCGTATCTTTTATTGTCTTTAAAAATGTGTTATACAAATCGCGGACAGATTAACACTATTAGAAATGTCTAATTTCACAGTCGTTTCAGAAATAATGTTTAAAAAATGATTTTGTCCTAAAAACATCACCACCCATTTCTCAGAAATTAAGACGTTTAGAACATATATAGCTTATTGGTTGCAATAATGGCACATATCAAAAAATAGTTATTTTTAGTTAATTGTTTCATAAAACTCGCATATTTGTATTTTAACAACAAACAATACCGGCACATAGTTACGTTACTTCAGTTCTGCTAGAGAGACTTAGCGCTTCTATTGAATTTCCTGCATTTTTAAGGATCTTACGCTCAAAGCCCGTCCATGACTCAGTGTGTCTGTGATCGCCGAAGAGTACGTAACATTTGTAAAAAGCGCGAAGAAGACCAAAATTCCTTGTAAAATCGTAGAAATGAGCTGCGATCATTTTTTTGATTTAAAAAAACTGGTAACTCAAACTTCTTTAAACTTTCACTGGGAAAGTTCAGGCGATATTGTTAAAATAAATGAAGGGTGTGTTTTTAAAGTAGAAAGAGATCCTCTGACACATTTTTCTATTAAACATCTTTTAGTGAAACTGGCTACAGAAGCATAAGCATTACGCAAAGAAAAATACGAATAGGCACGACTTTTACATCTTTTGGCAATGTGAATCAGGACCGTGCTTATCGAGAAGGTATAACAATTCAAAAGAAGTTTAATGACTTAATGGATTTTCTAAAAAGTAATGCTATTACAAAATGTCACAGTCACTTTTATAATAGACTGAAAGGTGGCAAAGACTTAATGTTAATGTTAAGGTACATTGACAGTAGTACTTTTTGTCTATTTCCCAATAACCAGGTCAGTTGGTTGCTGCTTTTACTGTAGAATAGCTTAGCTTTTGTTTACGTGCCATGATAATTCTTGTTTCTTATAATTTTAACAACCGTAGCTTTCCACCAAAAACTATAGGCCCGTTATTTTTTTATTGTATACGTGTTAAAAGATTACTAATCTGATAATTGCTTCTTTTATTTTACTTCGACATGTATCAAAAACTTTACGTCGGTTGTTTTTTTAGTTATAGCTTTTAGTTTAGTTTTATTAATTTTCAGTTTTTTTCTTAAGTTACTACTATGTACCCTGCGTTCAATTTCTCATGATAACAATTTAATTGTCTGTAACTTTTTTGTTTTTAGAGATATCAAGGTAAACAAAAAAACAAAATGTAGGTTGGTAGCCCAGTTTTGTTCTACGTTAATTTATAAATAGTTATTGTTCTTGCAGTCAGTTAAGATACTCTTTGATATTATATAAAATTTTTCTTTTTTTGCAGATTTTTCAAAAACGAGTGGACTAAAATATAAAGTGTGTTACACCGTTGCAATCAGAATAAGATATTATATTTAAAACATATATAATATACAGGGTGTTCCATTTAAAAAAATATATGACATAGGCTTATATGTCAGAAAATTGATAGTGTTTTGTTTTACACGTCACTTGGAAAAAAAACTTGTTACTAACTATACTTTCTGTTTACCTTGATATCTTTACAAACAAAAAAGTTACAGCCAATTAAAATGTAATCAAGATAAATTGAACGGACGGTACCTATCTCGCAAATGAACCTGCCGTATTATATTTTTATAGGTGTTTTTATAATAAAATTATGTTAAAACTTTGATCTACTGTTTTATTCAGATTTTTTTTATCAATATATTTATATTTTTTATATTCATAAAGGCATATCACTAAAAATTTTGTAGGAAGTAGGAGAGTTGATAAGGGTTATCTCAATATTTCAGTTTTTATTTTTTTTAATTTTGTTTCAGTGAGTGATATGTTGATATGAAGTTTCTTTTTACGGAATCCTAAAATTATCTCCTTCATAATGATATTGGTGACATATTTCTAACTATTTTGTGGAATAAAAAAATAAATAATGGATATTAATTAGTCGGACACAACAATTAATCATTCGCTAGACAAACGAATAAGGCAAGACGCCCGACGCTTTTAACACTCCGAAAACTGAGTTATTGGGTCAAAATTCCCGAGGACGAGGCACAATAGGACCGAAACGAACCTGCCCCAAACACACGATCTTCCTTACTTTCCGTCTCCGTTTCACAGCATAAATCCGGTCTCGAACATCGAGTGTGCTGCGATCCCCGATGAAAACAGACATTAGTGAGATCAAAGTCGCCGCGTACCGGGGCCGACTTTTCATTTCGTTAAATGTCCTCACGCCCACCTCTCACATCTTTTCTTCTTTTCAACGTGGCCCGGCCACGATACTCTCGCGACCACGACGGTTTATTCTCCCGACCCGACACTTCGGGATTTATTTATACGTGACTTTTTGATTTTGAAATATTTTCTAAGAAAACGGTTTACGAAATCGCTGGAAAGTCTGTACGAAATAATTGCTCGCGCTTTATTGGAATTGCGTGTAACGAGCGCGACTTTGTGTGCATACAAGTAACACGAACACGGGAATCGCTAATACAAACAAGAAAACACGCCAAACATTGAAATGCTGCGCGTGGCGGCTCATATAGTTTCCGTCGTTATTGAATTTAATTACGTACGTTAATTGCCCCCGGGGTAATTAGTGAGGTGGCAAGATAAGGCGGTGTCGAATATACCGCTTTTATATGGTATGCATTAATCGGATTCGAAGTTAGTTTGGGGTTTTGCTTTATCTGCTTGGATGTTGTTTAAAGGCTAATTTTGTAAAATGAAGCTGCACGGTATCGGCAGTGATTTTGATGTTTGAAAGCTGTTTGCTTCGTTCACACCCAAAATATGTCGTTTTCGTTTTCTCGAACCGAAATGAAATAACGGTTATAACCGATTTTTTACTATTTCACTATAATCACTTTCCATAATTTGAATCATAGCTGGCAAAAATTACTAACATGAAATTTATACTTTTAAAAACTTAACTCTATTTTAAAATATTTAGAGTGAATTGTTTGGGACCGTTCTTTTATTTACTCCCATTAAATTTAGTTACTTGAAAACTGCTATGCAGCTTAGTGATATGCCAGTGACATATTTTTTTTGTTTTTTTTTTTGCTTCATATTTGAAATATTAATATTTGTTGCTTTTCTCTCTGATCCTTAATTAATTAACTTTTACTTATTTAAAAATATTGTGCCATGGTTAATTTTCGGTTATTTGTGAGTAAAGTTATTATTATTAAAAATAGGAGAAAAAAATTGTTAACATTGTTAACAGTTTTGTGGTAAAAATATATATAAATAATTCAGCATTCAAAAATAAATAAAAATTTTAGTTAATTTAACTAAAAATATATTCTAAAGTAAATCACAGGATAATTATTAATTTTAATATATATGAATATATATCTATATAAAAATGACTTGCAACTATTTAATCTAAGAAGCAAGACATCTTCCAATAAATTTTCTTTTAAATTCGTCCGTTGATCATTGAAAATGTATTTCAGTGCTGAAAATGCTCGTTCGTCACTCACTTGTGTCATGGGTAATCCAATAATTTGTTTTGCAACGTTATACAATTCATTTGATGACATTTCTTTTGCTGTCCAATGTTTTCGCGCGGTTCTTTATAATAACGATCTAACAAGCATCGAATATCTGCTATATTATGAGATTTTGGAGAAATATTTTCTTTTTGAAAATTGTTCTATTTCATCTTCTTTTGTTGAAGTTGACTCTAGATATGACTTTGTGAAGTAGATAAAACTAGTTTCAATGTTGGATCAGGAAATATTGCGGACATAATCACATCATGATTAGATAATGATTAAATAGTGCTTAAATAGTTGCAGATATGTTGTCAAACATTTCTTTATGACAAGATTTTACATGTCGCTGCAAGTTTCCTGAATAATTCCCCTTTATTGATGTGTTGCACTCGTTGACTTTTCAAGTTGATTGATTGGTTAGAGCATTGTAAAAAAACATTTTCAAAACGGATTCATTTGATATCTTACCATTGAAAAAAGGTTTAAAATTATTTTTATAAGTTTAAATTATATTATTGTTTTAAAATGTTACCTCCATATATGTATAGTAACAACTAAACAAGATTAAGACACACAAACAAAACCACAATACAGACTGATACAAATAACTGAATATAACGAACTTATGTAAGAAAACATTGAATGATCACCTAACTAACCAAAATAATAGGGAAATGAGCGCCAGTAGATACGCCTCAATTTTCCGGAACGTAGTGGGAAATAGAAGTGGGACTGAATAGAAGACCCTTGCATCCCCGATATGTCTACTAGGAGTAGATTACAAGAATATTGTGTCATTAAACCGGTTAAAACCGGTAACCGAAATTATTTATTTCGTTTTCAATCATGAACGAAACATAAAAAATTGGTTTTCGTTTCCGTTTTCGTTCTTATAAATTATTCGGTTAATTTCTGGTTCTGGTTTTAGTTCCCATCTTAGTCCCTGGTCGATGCAGCATTGAAACCTGCTTATGCGCAGTTTGGTTGTATTGTTCGTCGTGGTACTGTATTCGCGGCTGTTGTCTTCGTTGTTGCGTATTTCTAGTGTTTTAGAATGTATAAATATCGAAATAAGACATTGTGTGAACAATCCAATCCTTGCATCTGTGGTAGTTATGTCGTAGTAAGTCAAAGGCAAACTATAACTTCTTTTGTGAAAAATGTATACCACGCTTATTTTGGTGTAAAAATTGGCGACCAAGACAAATCCTGGCTCCTCATAGTGTTTGTTCCGTTTGCGTTGAAGTATTAAGAAAATGGCAAAAAGGTACAAAGATATGTTTAAGCTTTGATGTTCCTATGATATGGCGAGAGCCTGGGAATCACAGTGTGTGTAATGTTCAAGGATTCAACAGAAAAAAATAAGAAACAAATTGTGTATCCTAATCTTGACTCGGCTGTTCTAAGGACGAAAACAACCAAAGTATTGTTCAAAATGTGTTACAACACTTTCATCGTCTAGGTTGTATATGGGTTTGAAAGTGCATTTTTTGTTTTCACACTTGGACTATTTTCGTGAAAATCTTGGAGCAGTTAGCGAAGAATAGGGAGAGAGGTCTCACCATGGCATTAAGGAAATGGAACGGCGATACCAAGGCGGAAGCCCTTAAAAACACACAGCCGAATGTCCGGACAACGCAACTTTCTGGGAACAGGACGAAGATTTCACTGTAAAGTTTTTTTTCGGCTTTTTTTAAACTACGATTCCACTTATATGCTGAATAAAAAAATAAATTATTTTGGAAATGTCGTTGTTTTTTCTTTAATATTTGCAAAAAAAAAGTAACTTCGAAGGCAATACCATAACAATTCAGGGGTTGACCAGATTTAGTTATTTAGTGATTTTTCCACTTTTTTAATGTTTCTTAGTTTTCCGTAACTTTTAAGTTAAGGTTTATAAGTTCCTAAACAATAGTGAACAAATGTATAGCAGCAGGCAGTGTTTCGGGCTTTTGTTTTAAATTTATGCATTTCCTTTAGTTCTCCATTTGTATAAATTACGGACAAACAGCGCCAGTGATTATCTTTAGGAATGTATAATCTAATTATTTTCCCCCGAACCACATTAGACGAGGACAGAAACTGAAGCTTATCTCCCGAAGTTAACCTGTAATGTTCTAGCTACCTTATTGAGTATGGATGATAGGCCGACAAAAAGTTCATTGAAAAACACTGACTACAGAAAAAATTTCTTACATGAAATACTACGAAAATCTTTTAAACAAATACGTAATCCTACTTTTGAACTGTTTGTGTTACCTATGATTATACTATTCGTTTGCATAAAATTTGTTCATGAGAATTATAACAAATATAGTTTTGATTAATATTCAAAAATGTATTTTTTTAGCAAGTATTGGAATATGACTCTAAAGTTTGACAATGTATTTTTTCTATTTACGCTTTCTTGCTTATATTAAATTAAATCCGTAACATGTAATGTATGTATATACGGAACTAGAACCATATTCACAAGTATGTTAATGCAAAAGTTTAAAATTATCATGCTAATTTTGATTCTGTTATGAAATCTGTCATTCTTTCGAAAAGCAGGGGTGGAAGCAAAAGAGATTTTTGCAGTTCAAAAATTCTTAATTAATGTAAAATGTTTAATAAAAGTTGACTGAAAACAGTAATCTGGTAATAATTATTATGCCGGAAATGCAGTGAAGTGAATGTAAATAATCTCCCATCCACTTAAGTGGTCGAAACATGTTTAAATATAAGCAATGAATTTAATATTAAAATGAGGGGGTAAGAATAAAGTAAAACACTAAAGAAAAAAGTGAAAACAATTTTTAAAATAATAATAAAAATTTGATATCTAATGGCATAGTGTTTTAATTGGTTAAAGAGTTAATAAATAACAGTTTACTAATAAATAAAATACATAACTTATATCTATGCTAACTTAGTTCTATTGGCACCGAAGAAAATGTATGTCCACTCTAGAACATTAGACAATATATTCATTATATTATACTAAAAAATGGAAACAATTTCTTAACTTAATATGAACAGTTAATTTTGATCTGTAAAACACGGACACACAATATTTTAATGTTTTAAAGTGGCATGATGGCGACTCGTTTATACGTAAGTCTGCGCAGTTTTTGAGTCTCAGTTTTTGTTCCCGGAGTTCGTTGTTTAGTTAGTATTGAATTGTTTTAATTGATTTGAGGTCAGTGCGTTAGTCTAAAACCGTAAATTCCTGCACATTGTAAGATTCTTGACAAACTAAGCCGAATAACTCTGGTTTAAGAGTACGAAAACTACAAAACGCCCAATAAATATGCGAGGTGACAGCGTAATCCCGCTTTGTCGAATTCCATTCCCAACAAAACGCGCCACAATGTTGCCTAATCGTCGCCGAGTAGAAAGAAATCGTAATTAATTTTCTAGGTAGCGAACTATAACTCCTGCCATCGCAAATCGTCATTAACCGTCCCTCGGCAAAAAAGACGACGTAGAAACTCATTTTTTACGATATAATATGCCTGAAGGAGAACCACGCTTCGGTACGTACCGGACATGGGCATCGCGCGTCATTTTTACGAGGCGGTAACCTTTTATTGCCGTAATGCCTCGATTAAATCGATTTCGAACGAGATAAAATGACTTTTTGTAATACAAGCGAGCTTAGACACCACCACACTGCTTAACCAGGTTGATTCAATGATATTTTTGAAAGTATACATTTGAGCGAAATTCATATTCACGCCTATGTTGCTGGCAAAGTAATCTAGGTATGCAGTCATACCTAGGTTTGCCTAGGCAAAGTCCGCATTGCCGACCCGGTTTAGGCAAAGTCCAAAATTATTCTATATTTCGTACTTTCTACTAATTTTAGGTTTGGCAAATACGTAGGAGGCTCACAAATAAATTGTTGTAGTTATCATAATAGCACTTTATTTCCAACAGGTAACATGATCCAATTACATGAAATACCAAATATGAATCATCCAATATAT